AAACATGCTTGCATTTTTGATGAAGGTGGTTAGAAAACTGAATTTTGTCAGCGTCTTCACCAAACAGAACTACCATATACGTTTTCAAGGCCAACAAGTGAATTTCTTGGAAGAAAGCCGACTCATGGAAAGTCACTTGTTGAAATCTTACTGCCGGAGACAGATATCTATGGGTTAAGGCGAGGTGGGCTTTATGGGGTCGACCTTCTCTAACCTCACCCTTCCTTTGTGGGAAGGCGTCACTGTTATGCTCATTGTTTGAGGAAAACACATTGCTGCCGTCACACCTTTGTCAGTCAGTCAGCTACAACGTAGGACCAGGCACACATATGCATCGGTCCAAGATGCCATACCTCATTAGCACAACAAGATGAACACCAGGTTCACACGGGTAGTTAAGTCAATGGTGGTAATATATAAAAGAAAGATTGTATATAAGGATATAGTACAGGAAGAAAGAATTAGTACGTAGAAATAAAGATATGAAGCGATTTCAATCTCATAGCTTGAGGGAAGACAGTGCAAGGATAAATATAGGTCGACAGACCTCCTATCCTTATTACTGAAGACTGATACACCGACGTCATTGTGGCCGATTCTGAGCCTTGACACCCACTCTCTCCAGCCATTGGTTATGATAGTCACGCGGACCCTAACCAAGTTGTCTGCATCTACCAACGCGGTTCAGACCATAAGTTAGTGACTTCAAGGACTGATGCAACATTTTGGTTTGGCCACCCCTAACTTTCTTCCAACCATCCTCTACACTAGTCAGGATTGCGCGACGTGGTAATCGGTGTTCTGGCATACTCAACACGTGACCCAACCACCTCAGTCGCTGATGATCTACGACCTCATTAACTGATTTACCATCATTCCCTAGCACACCTCTGTACAGCCAGGAGTACAACTTCACCCTCGAACCTTGGATCTCATGCTCGTAGTCTTATCGTTCTTCTACTGACCTGTCTGATGGTGACAGTAGAGCACAGACAGTCACTGTGAGCAGCATATACGAGAGTTAGACTTACTCTTAGCTTTCGTGTTGTGTGCAACCTCAGTATCCGACAGTGAGGATGACTTGTTACCTCGGTGTATTGAATCGTCTTCTGTCAAAACACCATCAGGAGTTTCATAGTTATTAAAGTAAGGCACTCCAGGACTAAGTCCGTCTAATAAAAAAATTATTTACTTGTTTTAATATCTGATTTACTAGAAAATCTAACCGGGGTGCGAATAACACAAGATGGTGAACATGGGTCATCTTTGTCTACTTGGATTGGGGTTCTTACTATCCCATCACTGGGTGAACGTGGGTCAAGGTCTAGGACTTTCGAGTGTTTGGGTATTTTTATAGGCGTTAGGTGTTTATCTGTCTCCTTGTTCACTGGACTGGCCCGGAAATTTACATAGTTACCCATCCCCGAAAATGCCGAATTTCGCGCCACATTATCTGTTGGGCAGATTTCGTTGAACCAAATAATACAATTTCCAATTTTTATTTACTTATCTGAGGATAAAACAGGATAAAGAAAACATTTGTTAATCATTGACAGTTGTTGTTCTATCGAGATTGAATTCAGTTTTATGCTTCAAAATCGTTTTGATAAACTCGCTAAATTTTAATCCTACAATGTACCAGAACTAAATAATGGTTAGAAAAGTGTGATCAGCCAAAAAATATCAGATCGTGAGGGCTTTGTGGTCAGGTCCTTTCGAGTTCTTCCGAGAATGTTTTTGGATCATGCATATTACGTTTGATGACCTTTCTCGAATATTGGCCCAATGGCGTCCTGATGTATGAAATCACGAGACGATCAAAGCTGAACAACGAACAAAAACCTAGAAGTGCTGAGTGACCGTGACCAATGAAGTTAAATTTTGCCGAGTATGAGGCACTTACTAATTGAAAACAATGGGAAATGGTGACACAATTTCTTGAATTGACTGAAGCTATACAACAATAACGTTGTAAGCCAACTCTTTGGGAGAGTTCGGAAGCCTTTTGATCCAGTCTAAAGTGCACGGTCATAAATGTACACTTTTGAGGAGTCGCATATTGGAAAGAAACATTTGCTTACACTTTTTCAATGGTTAACATGCTCGTGATTTCAATGAAATGGCTAACTACTTGAACATTGGGATCCGTGTCTGGGTCGTGTGAGAGATTTCTTGTTTAAGGAGATCTAAGTTCTGAATCTGGACCATCAGGAGTCTGAAACGTCCTCATTCTAGTTTTCTTAATTTTTTTCCCGATGTATGTGTCAACATTTAATTTTACTGTTGATGCTTTGAGACTGACATGAATGTTAACCATGATAATACATCGTTATTATGCCCTCCATTATTTATTTGGATTATTACACCCAACTTTCCATATTAGACTTTCCTGATTTCAATGGTCGTACATGGTAGGCATATCGTTCCAGGTTTGTTAGAAACACTTTCTTATTGCAAAAATTCATTAGGATATTTAAACGGCTGCAAAGAAAACATACGATTCTATTGTGTGTAAGACTGGAAGCAAGCAGTCACGACTAATTGTTTTTGGTGCTACTGTATTTAATTAGCATGTCCGTTGCTACCATATTAGAGGGTAGCAAACACTGGACCGCATTTAATATTTCTTTTTACAGTAATGCCAAGAGTGAGGCTCTAAAGATTTTCTCCAGTACACCCATCAATATACTGGTTTGGAAATGATGACGCGGTTCCTTTTAGTAATGAAAAATGTGCTCGTACTGAAACCTATTAAAATTTTAGGTTTCAGAGGTATACGCTCATTTTCTCTGGATCTAAATGTAATAGTAGTACTATTCCAACAGAAAAGGAGCTTAAATATCCATGCGAACAGTGAACTTCCAGGCCGAATGGGGTCTTTTTGTTTTAATAACAAAACTGTTTTATTAATGTTAGTTAAATGATGATCATTATTGATAACCCCACAGTTCTATGGGCAATAATAATGCAGTCAATACTGAATTCTGTAAATCCACTATATGTGTGAATGGCTTGTCAAACTTCCTGAAAATTTAGTGGACGAAGGGAGGGATATGGATCAAATTGAATGTGTTCTGATATTTTGTTATGATTGCTGTTTCTGCAGACAACTTAAATATTTTTCATTGCTGTCTGTAGTGATGTTGATTAATTTATTGTTGATATTCTGACCAAATGCTTGAATAATTTTAGCAAATGTGCGATAAGTGGGGGTTTACCTAATACAGTGGCGACATCAACGAGAAAATCCAAACGACCACCAGTTACGTTTAATTACATACATAATGGACAAGAGAATGGTTATCAAGAATCAGTAGCTAGGTGGATAATGTGTTGACATGTAGAGCGCGAGATACCAAATTTGGCTCTCAGAAAGTAAAAAACTTTAAGATAACGAGTTCCAAAAAGGATTAAATGCGTGTTTTGAATGCAACTTTAAGCAACTGTTTATTTATTCTGCATATGCTTGGATATTTGCGCCATGCCTTTTGCACTTCAGCTACTTAGTAGTGATTGGTGGCGTATCCTTCTTCGTGCAAACCGGCTTCTATCAATTAATTCGCAATATGAACACTATTCCAAGTTATCACTTGAATTCAATCAACAATAACGACCAGAGATACATGGTACTGGTCAGTACCCATTGATAAGTCATTTGCGGATGTAATGACCTTTCCGAGGATAGGTCTAAAAGGGAAGCATGCATGGTGCTGTTTTCGTCATTACAAACACCCAGTTAGTGATACATACTCCAAAACCCCTATAATTTATAATATTCGCCATATTGAATGAATATTATATAAACGTGACGAAAATAGAAGCACGGACCCGATGTCAGGAAACTTTTCAGACTTAAATAATGGATTCAATAATTAGTATCTATGTGAAGGATTGAAGTAAACGATAAGAAGCTACGTGACTACGAAGTCACAAAAATGCATTTCAAAGTGAGTCGTTATCACGAGTGATATATAAATAAAAAAACACCTCCAAAAACCTTCACAATCTCAACTAGTTCTACGGATGATATTCTTCACTCCTAAACTATCGTATGACCTAGTCATTTCCTCAAGTAAATGGACGGCTCCAGGCGACCGTGTGAAATGACAAAGATTTCTCCGAAATCATTAGTTTTGCGCACAGCGAGAAACGGACACTTCCGTAATTTAGATAAATACACTTCAGGGTGACTGAGAATACAGCGCTATCGATAGTTTACAGAATCAGGCCAAGAGATTACAGGCAGTCACAGAATAACCAAAACATCCCTAGACGACTTTACAACTCACTAAAATGTGACAACGGCCCCATAGGAGATCAAACTGAAGGTTAAACAAAGGCAGATCATAGATCAGACCCATAGGAGTCAGGTTAAGTATTACACGGTATAAAAAGTGGATAGACTATCATATATAAATGTATTGAACGAAATGAATTAAACTGAATAAAACAAATATTATTTTGTATAAAAGATAACAATAAATCAAAAATAAACAAGCCCCACTGTTGTGTGTAAATAGTTTGCATACAAAATGTGGGATCAATATTGAAAGAGCGAAGTATAAAGGAATTCATAAGCACTACTCGAAATAGATACTTATAAAAAATCAAAAAGCCAGGAGCCATGAGAAATGTCAGAATCTCAGTTAATGGCAACTCAAATGACAACATGACACTTCAGTCAATCTGAATATATTTGCATAAATGGTCATCACAATACTTTGGACAAAATAATGAGAAGTTGATCCAATAAGAAAAGGCAATAGGATTAAGCAACGTTCTGGGGAAAACAAATAAATGAAGCAAAGTTATGAAGTACAGACAGGTGGTGAAAGGGAAGTGAAGTTACATTGTAGTGAACTGGTTATTTATTTTGTTTTCTTTGAGTAGGGACGTCTAGTTAGGAGTTTGAAGTGACCTCGCCGCGACAAAAGACATTTTTCTTGATGTTTTTTGCGATGACTTTCGAAGGGATGTACAACTGAAGACAAATTACATTTACATTCGTTTTCAACACGCAACTGGAAAAAAAGACAAAATTTACAATTCCCGGCGTAAAGAAGGTATTCAAACAAATACAAAGCATGATAGTGTACGAGAATTCAGTTAACTTGTATGCCGTCTTGAAGCACTACTTATTCTTTTATAAGAAGCATATACAACGTGAGAATATCCTGTTTCCACTATCCGCTCTGATTTTTTTGTGACTTCATTGTAAACAAAATGGATTAGAACTAAATAATCTATTTAGCCACTGTAAATAAAATGTGAAAGTTTAGGAAATAAGGTTTAGCAGTAAGGTTTGGTCAGCGACACACAGCAGGAAAAATACATTAGGTTTGAAGAAGCCAAAATAACCTACGTTAAGATATGGGAAGGATAACTACATAATACCTATCTACATGAGTTATTGTATCGTAGGGTCCATGTAATTAAAAAGTAAACCTGCCTAGTCAGTAACTTACAATGAATTTGCTATAATGGTCCTTTCAAACAAATCCTACTAGTCATGATGTATAGGAGTCGAATATGAATACATGAAAAGATGAGAATGTGTTACAGCAGAAAAATGGACAATCCATCGGGTTGAAAACCGACGTCAAAATTAGTACTGTTTGTGAAATTCTGAATATATGGAAATATAAACGAGTTGAAAACGTCAATTTTCTGTAGTAAGTATTCCAAATTGGCTCTTGGGAATTATTAACAAACATGGCACAAACCTCAGAGAACGGTTCACTAACAGTGAGATTCTTATTGTTTGTGACATGGAAAACACAAAGCAGACTCCCTTATTTACCAGATGTAGCTAATGATTGCACCTCCGTGGAGCGTTCCGATCACTAATTTTTCTGTTGCATATGTACGGTTTTTTTTGAAATTTTTGACTAAAAGATTGGTGTAAATTAGTCCACTCGAAGTTAACAAAAACATATGAACATGTGCTAACTTTTGAAAAATTCAGTGGATCTTCTTCTAAACTTAACGTATTTTCAGTACATTAATGATCGTACCAGTTACTTTGATGAGATCTTGTAAAGGTACCTAGTGATCAAGGCTTGAATTTTGAAGACAGTGAATTCAAATAATACCCACAGTTCTCAGAATAACACTACAATTTACTAATTAAATCCAAAAACAGTTAAGTCTTGATGCATTTAGATTGCATGTCCCAATTAACACTTATGATTTTAAAACAAGGAGACTGATTTCCTTTTACAATATAAATACAGAGATGACTAATTTTCAATAATGACTGTTTACCATCAGTCAGTCAAAACGTAGAACTTCGTACGTTTCAGTTTCAGTAACCATATCACATTAGCACAGAGATTGTTTACCATCAAACTATAACGAAGTAGATTTATGAATAAGAGCAATACTAAAACTAACTTTATAGTAGGGTATTAAAAATGAATTCATGTAGACAAAATGTTATAACTTGTGACTGCAAATTAATGTGCAGTGACTTATCAATCGGATCAAAGACGCGTAAACACGTGCGAGCAGTCTAGAGTTCTGATTGGTCCTGCTTTCCGCCTAGCCCAGCCAGTTAAGTCCAGAACACAAGTCTCAGCCTCTGCGATATGAATCATTATATTTCAAACATACAGAGTTTATATACCAATCAAACAGACCACAACGTGCCATAAAATAGAAAACAACGTTCGTACAAAATTTGGCCAACACGAAAATGACAAGTGAAATAAATATTGACCGATAGGGAAACAACACGCGAAATAAAAATTGACCAATAGGAAAATGATGCCATTTCAAGTCCAAGGATGGCATTAGACTTAACAGGATAATTTTTGGGATATTTTTCTGAATATCCCAAAACAAAACCACCTGCTTGTTGATTTTATTAGGTTACGTGATTTAAAGAATGTGGAAACAGGGATCAATATTTCTGAGATTTTAGATTATCTAAAGTTGCAAAACGCAATCTAATTATTTTTTCAATTATGTGGATATATTCCTCTAACAAATAAAAACAAGTTGCTTGTATAAAAAAGTGACCAAAAGATAGAGGGAAAAATGTAAGGTCATTACACATTATCAACAAACTTTTCTAGATGGGTCAATGTGATCATGGTTTCACTTTGAAGTTAGATTAACTAGTGAAAAGTAAATTGTTCAGACTAACAGAACGAACTGCCGAAAAATAGAAAAGCTACTCAGTTATAAATAATATATTTGGATAAATAACGTCACTATACTTTCTATAATGAAAATGAAACATTTTAATAATGAACTCAAACAAGATCATTATCATCATCTAGGGATGAGTGAGAATCGATAGTCACATTAAACTAATTATTTGGATTTCAAGTACAGCTGTTATGATGGCTGCTTATTTGATTGTTTCCAGAAGTTGATTTGCTTTATATATGGTCTGCACAAACTTACACTAGACATCAATAGTAAAATCTAGAAAACAATTATATTTGAAAACTAAACACAGTATGACAGAAGGCTCGACTAGCTTTTGCCAACTTGCGTCATTTATGGCGTAGGCGAGATATCCGTCTATCAACCAAAGGACGTGTTTACTGTGCAGCAGTTCGTTCCGTCCTACTTTATGGCAGTGAAACATGGCCGGTAAGAGTAGAGGATATCCGTAGGTTACTAGTATTCGATCATAGGCGTCTTCGAAACATTGCTCGTATATCATGGGACCATCGAGTAAGTAACACAGTTGTTAGAAAACGGGTACTAGGTAAGGATGGCAAATCAATTGATGACGTAGTGAAACTTCATCAGTTGAGATGGCTGGGACACGTGTTACGTATGCCCAACGACCGACTGCCTCGACGTGCTATGTTCAGTGGTATAGGAGTAGGTTGGAAGAAAGCTAGGGGCGGCCAAACCAAAACATGGCTCAAGTCCATGAAGTCACTGACAAGTGAACTGAGTCATGTTGGTAGGTGTAGACTATCTGGTTGGGGACCGCGAGATGACAGCAACCGATGGTTAGAGACCCTGAATGACATGGCCCAAAATCGTTCGCAATGGCGCAGGTGCATCCACTCTCTGTGTTCTCCCAAACTCTAATCTTCTGAATTCTTCATGTCCCTTTTTCCCTCTTTCCAAATTTCTTTCACTGGATTATACTCTTTAAATAACATCTCCAAACCCTAATCTTCCCGATTACTGCTTATACTCTTGCTACCTGTACCACTACGGGATTTGAATCGACCACTGCATCTCTGTGCTAATGTGGTGTGGCAACTCGAACTGATGTACGTACGTACGAAGTTCTACGTTGTTACTGACTGACTGACTGACTGTATGAATGCGACTGCTCATCTCCGATACCGAAGTGATAAATTCAGGTCTAATGACTAATACATCATATTGTAGGTAAAATAAGGACCTAAAAGTCAGAATATATCGATTTCAATCGTTTCTTAATTTGGAGAGAACATTCTTCAATGTCCCTAAAAAGGCCAATAATGCGTATCATTGAAGAGCATCGAGCTAATACTCTGAAACATTTCAAGATTTGCCTATTCGTAACAGCCCTTCAGCTAATATTATTTCATACTGGTCAACTTTGGTACTAATCAGTATAAAAAATTATGGACTCCGTGACTGTGAGGAACTCCCTATTACAACCATTATAAAACAGTAAGCAGGAGAAATTCTAATGACAACATTTTAAACACAATATATATAGAGTTTAAAAAATGTCTATCATCAGATTTTAATTCCATAATTCAAAAGTAATGCAAGAGCTATAAGACCTAGATGTTTAAGTTTGAATATAAAATACATAATGGTTGTTGGGTCACAAAGTACAATGAAACATATTTGGACCTCTCTTAACTTTGTTTCTTTTCATAACCGATATTGGTTTTTAAAATTATTCGTTATGAATTGGTTATGTTACAAAACGTTCACTGACATTCTACATTTCCTCCAAATCAACTAGCATTTGAAATTTATTATATATTTTTTATCAAGAATGGTGATCTGTGATATAAATGGTCGATTTAAAACACGAAGGTTTAAACAACAATCACCCTCACAGTAATTTGAACAGCCCTTTTCAAATTACGAAGACTACAACTGAGTATGTAAATCAGTACTTAGTTAGACTAACCAGAAGCAAACCAATATTTGAGGCCATACAAGAAAGGTTTACTTCCAGACTTGGACAACGATTAAATTAAAAGCTCCATAGAAAGTATGTTATTCTTGGATCAATCAACTAGAACCGAAAAAAATACAGCTTAGAAGTCCCATTGTTTTACGTTAATTGACTATTTTTATAGAATACCACACAAAAGAAGATGAAATTTAGTTTTATAGACTAGCAGGTCATCAAGATCAATTCTGTTTATAATTTTGATATTATTTTAAAATAAATACATAGACATATACTATAATACTAGACAAAATATCTTCATGATACTAACCTGTTCATCAGTCGAATGATAGGTATGAGGATCTAAGAATAAGCTAGACCGATTTCTATGTGATAATATATCAGGTGAACAAGATGTATCACTACAAACCAATGAAGATGTTTGATAATGTTTCATAAGTTGAGTGGAAGATGAAGATAAAGTAGAAGGATATGAATGGAATGGTGTTGAAGTATTTGGAGTTTGACAAATTATATTATCCACCGATGAAGTAGGTTGAATTGATAACTTATCTCTTTCGAAAACACCAGACTTATGTGTACAAAGATTTAGTGCATGACATTGACACATCTTCCCTGAAATCAAAAGTGATTGATTGACACGCTGCAACAACCGTCTAATAGCCTATGAACCAAATATAAATTTAATACAATGATTACTATATCATAACTATACAAATGAAATTGTGCAGTAATTTTCACTACAACTTGTTACATCCGGTTTTTAATTATTAAAACCAATCGATTTTTGTTAGTTATACGGATCTTCGTCCCGGTGGATCGTAGTTTCCTTAATAGAACATGAAACTAGCATTCTCTACTTCAAACAATAACGAAAGTCAATTTGCTTTTAGCAACCAATACACATTAAATGACGACTACAACTAGAAAAATAATTTTCGCTTTGAGTCTTATTATCACAAATTATAATCACAACTATTCTGTAACATTCGTTTTAATTTTACATTGTCATTTAACTATCCTCTTTTACTCCCGTTTTGTGTATTCCTTTATTTTCAACTTATATACCCGCTAGCCTGTAGTGGAAATCTTGTCCCTTTCGGTGGATATTTGTTCTCTGAACTGGATGATTTGATCGTGGAGCTTTCATAGTTATTCTGAGCATCATCAGCACAATGTTTGTTGGTTGCTGATTGACCTGGGTGCCAAGCTTCTAAAAATCCTCTGGTGTTTTTATTGCATCTATCCAAAATCTCGACATTTTCCCAGTCAAATGTGTCCACATACACTGACACAAGCGAGGATATATCATGGCGTTTGACCGCTAATTGGTGTTTGTGCAGGCAAGGATGCAGGCGTCCTATTCGTCCGATGTAGTGTTTTTCGCAGCTCTAACAATTTATTTTGTAGATGTCCACTTTTCCTTCTTTCGTCATTTCATCCTTTGGTTTGCACAAGATTGATTGAAGTAATTTTGTTGGTCTGTGTGTTAAACTTATCCCAAAAGGCTTCAACAATTTCGTGGTAATTTCTGCTATGCCTTTACATGTGATAGATGATCCGTTCGTCGGTTTTTCAATTTGATTTTGTTTCTGCTGATGCACTTGGTTGGTATTTTTTGGTGTTGGATAGCCGTTCTTTCGAAAGGCAGTCTTTAGACATTTTTCTGCTTTTCAAGTGTGTTGCAGTGTGTCCTCACCTTCTTAAACAAATTTTGTACGTGACTGATTATGTGAGCTCTTGGGTTGCTGTTACTGTAATTGAGAATTCGATCTGTGTGCGTTGGCTTCGTACATACTTAAGTCTCCAGTTTTCCTGTGTCAGTTCTGGTGATTAATATATCCAAGAATGGTGATCATATCAAGTTCGAAAATGGGACAGTAGTCAAACAACACACTACCATGGCAAGTAAATTTCAATGAGCTAAATATGAAGAGACTGATCTTGATTATACATCTGAAAATGAAGGTGCACGGAATCCTAGCTTATTTTTCACTACTAGCGGCCAAAAATTTACAGCGAATTGAAATATCGAATTTTCGTAATTAACAAAATTCTAAACATTCTGTTCTTAGAGGGATATAGATTAAATTAAAGCGTGTTCCGTGCAGGATCGTGTTGGGGCACGATGATTAACTATTTCTCAACCAATCGGTGCTAGCGGAGACTTGTAGAAGGTTCTAGAATCTTCCTGTGTGAAAATTATAAATATACTAACGTTTTTCTTTTTATGATTCATATTCTTATCCACCCTTTTTATTTGGAATATAATTACGTTCCTGTTCAAACCTGTTCTGATTTGAGGTCTTGTTGAGTGAAGTAGTGTCCAAGAATACTAAGCAATAAAAGTAGCTGGGTCTTAATAAGAGAAATCATAACACCTATTTATGATTAGAAGACGGTTGCAGCTGATATTCGATAAAACACTGAAGATGTAACCTTTGTGATGGTTATGTGAGTACAATTATAAACACCTACTACGTTGATCAGGTAGGATAACAAATGAATGTCATTTAATTGTCCCATTGGATTGAGTAGCATTTAGCGGATAAACACAGTTCTAGTGAAACCAAACGACCACGTGCGAATTGGATTAGTGTACCAAACACTGGAGACTAAAAATATATATCAACGAGTGAAGGCAGGTAGACCATTACAAGAGAAAGGTTTACGAGCTCCAAAAGGAGTAAAAATATTCAAATTTACCATCCCAAGTCGGTGAGATAATAGTAATTTATGATTGAAAACGCCAAGTGATAGTGCTTGGAATCGGTTGAAGTGAATTAGATATGTTTATTCGGTATCATTTTTTGGGTTTTCAACGTACTGCATTCAACACTCCTGATATTTTTTGGTTTCAGTCTTCTACTACCTTCCCACACCCCTACCTTTTTGTTTTCTTTATTTCCGGTCAGTCTTGGTTTGAGTTGTCACCTTGAACCGGTTTATATATACATATAGCACCTCACAATCAAACAAGTCAACATACTTTTTAGTCTAGAACTTATTTATTCAGTCTTATGAAGAAACATAACTTAATTTGTGTTGGGTGGCAGTTGAAGTTTATCAGATATATACACTGATTACAACAGACATTATTTCTTAAATTCTGTAAGAGTGGATGTGGTCACTAATCGTCAACGTTCAACATAAATGGCAAAATTCCATGTGAAACGCACTAAAGCAACAGTTTGAGTAGTATGGTATCTGAAATCTTAACATTTGTAATCAATCACATGATTGGAGAATGTGAATATCGAACCCGGGAAAGTCAAGATGGTTTCAGGTCTAGACACGAATGTGTAAATTGAATATTAGTCTTTCATATTTCTTAACCTGAAGGTCGAACTTGAATCGATTGTTGGGCAGGTTTAATGACAGAATCTGCTATTAAAAGACACACAAAAGTCGGACGTAAAACTTGTGAAGGGTCATCACTCGGACGCCATCGAGCATACAGAGAAACATTAGTCAACAGAATGATGAAAACGACTATTTTAATTTATTTCGAATTTCGGACCACGTTTACTATGGCGTCATTCACTCGAAAAGTGCTCATTAAACTTCCAACCTTTAAACAGAAATCAATAAATAATCAACCCTGCCTCATTTTCGCATTATGGCCTAGGGTAATGCGATAATTTCCTACTCTTCCTATGCAATGTTAACTTTCATCTCTCCTTTGTTTACTTTAATCTTCATTTAATCAACCTTTACTAATTTTCACAAAAAACGTATTGACAAGTATGTGCATAACCAGATCGTTCGAAATATATAGCGCAAATACATCACATTTTTTAGATCAACTCCGTCTTCTCATTGTTCTACAGACAGTCATCATAACTTCATTATATCGTTCATTTTCTTCTTAAACAATTTTAGGTTAAGATAGTTTTGTGTCAATACAATACTAAAAATTATCTTGTCTTGAAATTCATCTGTCATCTAACTAGTCAGTCTATAAACACTTTTGAAATCTTCTCGAGGGAAAGAAATAAACCTATGTATTGAAGAATATTTGGTTGAACCGTGGTGTAGTGGTTAAGGCATTCGACTTTTAGCTTCTAAGTCCCAGATTCATACTCTGCTTACTAATGTCTGCAATACCTAAACGTAAAAAGATAGATTACAATGGAATTTTCAGTGCTGTAGACCTTGTAGTTTTGACACTAAAATTTAATGAATGAAAAATTTTTAGCAATGAGAGGGAATTTTCGGCTGTTTCTCTCTTTTAATCTCTTTGTTGTTATTACTATTAGTTGAACACATAGATATTGGTACAAAGAGGCACCAAATACATATGCGCCACACAAATCTCATTTGATATGTGTGAGGGCTGTGATACTGACCGGGTGCCCAAACCGAAGTAGGTCGTTTTCTTAGGGGACCACACCCGGAGCCTTCGATCTAAAGGTCTGATCCACAAAGCATTGGAGCATTGTGAGGAGATGCAGTCCCATAGTAGCCGGTGACCAACGATTGGATCATACGCCATGTGCACCACTGCTTTGGAATCAGGGTTTTCCAACTCCACTAGGTGAACTCTCCATGTCCACCAGCCCGGTTAAAGCGCCGGACATTCGCTTTTCGTTCTCTCATTTTTGTAAACAACAACCCCGCCACGAGAAGGCAATGAGTAAGACTTCCCTGGCAGAGTCTATATACGCGTGGCCATGTGAGAACATTTCGAGAGGGAGAGCGGACTCTCTTCACTATCGGCCGTACCAGGGCATTTGGGGGCTATTTGTTCGATTGACACGATTTATAAGAAAGTGAAAGAAGCTAGTTATAGTTACGAATCAACACAAAATAGAAAAACGCATCACTAAAGATAAGGCAGAACAATCCACAACCCCAACGAAACTGAAATATACTTCAGAAAACTTACCAATCGTAAAGCACGTTTAGGTGGGAATTCCTTGTCTTCATCGTCTGTATGAGACGAATCTGATGAACTCTGTGAAGAATGTAGTGTTGAAAATAATGTATCGGGAGTTGATGAAATGATTGGACTCTGATCTGTTATTAGCAATGTAGATTCGTGGGCATGTGAATTAACAGTATGTTCAGTCAATGAGCCCTCTTGTTGTTTGCATCTGGATGACTTTAACTTCGAATTATTCGAACTATCAGATAAGCGGAAATGTCGAAGCTAAATGGATTAAAAGTATATGTTATCTGTTAAATAAAGCAATTTAGTTGTAACAATGACACTATACGCAACGAACATAAACATATAATTTTATTCATTATGCTTAGATTTATGGAATGATTATTTCTGAGGATGACTTGCAGCCACACAATTTAATCAAACTCTAACTACATTAGTTGAGAAGGTTCAATGTAATTTGTCATCATATGAACATGACAAACAGCTCACCACAGAAATCCTCATGCAGCTATCAAGTCGAACTGTTATTAGTTGGAACATTACCATTAAATCAACGTCATTCGAGGAACTTAGTAACGAAGATGTCAGATCACATTCTATCCATTAAACTGTTTAGAACGTTAACTTTTCGTGACAACGAATATATTTTCTGCTTTATATCAATCATATTCTATTAGTAGAGAGCAGGTGAAACTAAGTATGTGACAAATGAAGTTTTCGAATTTTTGAAAAATGTAAGTCAGTCAGTAACAACGTAGAACTTCGTACGTACGTACATCAGTTCGAGTTGCCACACCACATTAGCACAGAGATGCAGTGGTCGATTCAAATCCCGTAGTGGTACAGGTAGCAAGAGTATAAGCAGTAATCGGGAAGATTAGGGTTTGGAGATGTTATTTAAAGAGTATAATCCAGTGAAAGAAATTTGGAAAGAGGGAAAAAGGGACATGAAGAATTCAGAAGATTAGAGTTTGGGAGAACACAGAGAGTGGATGCACCTGCGCCATTGCGAACGATTTTGGGCCATGTCATTCAGGGTCTCTAACCATCGGTTGCTGTCATCTCGCGGTCCCCAACCAGATAGTCTACACCTACCAACATGACTCAGTTCACTTGTCAGTGACTTCATGGACTTGAGCCATGTTTTGGTTTGGCCGCCCCTAGCTTTCTTCCAACCTACTCCTATACCACTGAACATAGCACGTCGAGGCAGTTGGTCGTTGGGCATACGTAACACGTGTCCCAGCCATCTCAACTGATGAAGTTTCACTACGTCATCAATTGATTTGCCATCCTTACCTAGTACCCGTTTCCTAACAACTGTGTTACTTACTCGATGGACCCATGATATACGAGCAATGTTTCGAAGACACCTATGATCAAATACTAGTAGCCTACGGATATCCTCTACTCTTACCGGCCATGTTTCACTGCCATAAAGTAGGACGGAACGAACTGCTGCACAGTAAACACGTCCTTTGGTTGATAGACGGATATCTCGCCTACGCCATAAATGACGCAAGTTGGCAAAAGCTAGTCGAGCCTTCTGTATCCGTGCTGAGATTTCGTCACACACCAAACCACAAGGGCTGATGAGACTTCCAAGATAAGTGAAGCGGTCGACACACTCAACTACTTCACTCCCTATCACTAGTTCGGGTGTCGATGTAACCCAATCCTGAGGTTTCCTTGCAGGATCTTTCCTACGTCCAGTAAGACGCAAGCAAATACGCGCTCGCACTAGAGCATGATCTGAATCTAGGCATGTGCTCCAGAATGAGCGGCAGTCTTCTATCGAGCCCCTCCATCGGTGGCTGATAGCGATGTGATCTATTTGGGTCCAACGTTGGGACGAATTAGGGGGTCGCCATGTTAAAAGATGTTTTTCCTTATGCTTAAAGTTAGTATTTACAAGGAACAGGCGGTTATCTGAGCATAGCTGCAACAGACGGTCGCCATTATCTGTTCTTTGAGCCACGACACCATAGGATCCACCTAGGTGTCTTTCCTTATCGCTTGGTTTACCTACTTGAGCATTTAAGTCACCGGCCACTATTACTACATCCGAGCGCTTAGCTTTTCGGAGAAGGTCCGAAAGCTTTCTGTAAAACTCATCTTTTACATCATCTGAGCTGCAGTCAGTGGGAGAATAGGCAGAGACGACGAAGAGGCAACGACGAGTGTCCCTATCTTTCCGGATTCTTACTGTTCCGTTCAGTCGGACAGCGCAGAAACGACTGTCTACTGGGATCCACTCTAAGAGAGCTAGTTCTGCCCTAGGACTCAATGCTATACCTACGCCGGCGAGGCCACGGGAAGCAGAATCAGGGCTTCCAGATACACGAAGCGTAAATCGAGTCGGTTCTTTATTTTGGCATGGTGAGGTCAAATGAATGACGCTACTCGGATCCTGTATGCGCGTTTCGGAGACGCAGCACACATCGATGGCGCGAGATTCTAAAGTCCTAGCTAAGGAAGCCTGCTGTCCTATTTGGCACAGTGTTCGTACGTTAAAAGCTCCTACGTGTAGTTTAGAGCGTGGTTTCAGGAGACCAGGAATGGCGTTCCACGTACTCGAATCGTTTGCCCTAGCGGTGCGAGGTGATAAAGAGACGTGAGGAGGGTTAGTCGGGAGGATAAGAGAGGTATTAGGAGGTGTAGGAAGGATTTGAATGTGACCACCTTGGTCTCTTGTGCTGTTACGGGTATGAGGGCTGATGTCACTTCCCGGCTGCCCACACCGTGGAAGGGTATTTCTTGATGAACCTGAAAAGGAAATTGGATTAGTGTTGGTCTTGACGACCTGGGAGCGTGACCGCAGAGCCCAAGGGACAACTGCTTGAGGCCGGTCGCGCACGGCCTTTTTGTGGAAGGTTTTTGACGTGTTAGCTCCGTTCTTCAAGGGGCCTTACCGCCGGAGACGGAAATCCGTGAGGTGTGCATTTTTAGGGTCGACCTTTTCTAACCCCACCCCTCCTTGTGGGAAGGCAGCATCGCTGTCATGCTGGTTGTCCGAGGGAAACACCTTACTGCTGTCACACCTCTCTACAGTCAGCAGTACGACTTCGCCCTCAGACCTTGAGTTGCTGCTTTTAGTCTTACCGTTCGCCAATCGACCTGCCTGGCATGGTAGAACCTGCAGGAACATATGTTCCAGCCAATATAGCTCGGTTGGGTCATCACGATAGGCAAGCCCGATCACCGCGTCAAGGTAGCAGCTTCGATCGGGATATTTGACAAACTACTGGAATTATAAACTGAGGGGTTTATCTGTTTGCTAAATACCTTCCTGAATTTAACTTGAGATTCGTTGACAGTTATTGCCAAATACCAGGTTAAATTATCGGGACATCACGACGTTTTGTGACATGAATCGCATAACATTTATTTAGTCGAGAATACAAGACGTAACACGTGCTGTTGCACACTGACTTTTCATAAGAATCTAAATATGTAGAATATCCCTCATCTGTGTTTTACAATCATTTAAATGTCTCAATCTGAATCTTGGAAGGACGGTATCAGTCGTATGTTAACTGATGACGGTTCATATTCTACTGGAACAAAATACTATGATAATAGTGTTACATTTTTTACATTTTTTTTTGAAAAATGTAACACTATTATCATAGTATTTTGTTCCAGTAGAATATGAACCGTCATCAGTTAACATACGACTGATACCGTCCTTCCAAGATTCAGATTGAGACATTTAAATGATTGTAAAACACAGATGAGGGATATTCTACATATTTAGATTCTTATGAAAAGTCAGTGTGCAACAGCACGTGTTACGTCTTGTATTCTCGACTAAATAAATGTTATGCGATTCATGTCACAAAACGTCGTGATGTCCCGATAATTTAACCTGGTATTTGGCAATAACTGTCAACGAATCTCAAGTTAAATTCAGGAAGGTATTTAGCAAACAGATAAACCCCTCAGTTTATAATTCCAGTAGTTTGTCAAATATTTCTTAAACAATACATGCATTCGTACGAGAGATCATACATTTTACGTGATCAACTATTTTTACTTACACAATAAAATACGACGCAAAAATCGTGACAAGCATAAAATAGAGAAGTATTCCTAACACCAATTCAGTCATTTTTCAGTAAGATACGTAGTGCTAGCTACTCTTAACCTTATAATCATTCACTGGATTAAGAGATAATTCTGAGTATATTAACACTGGTAGTGTACTCTTAACTATAAGATACTCAAGTATACAGCTCATTAATTCATCTAATCACACTTAGCGCCTACGTAATATCCCAAAACATTCTTAACTTTCGATGTTTTCTCCAATAAAGCTGACATTCGGTGAGAAAACAAATTATCTTTATAATCATCGGGAGATCAGCAGTAAGCTACTATTAACATCTCACAATAAAATTGTTGGGAAGATTATGCAATTCAACATATGAAGGATTCAGCTGTGGAATATATTTATCATATGATGGTCAGAAATAATTCTTATTCTGTATGATCGATATGGTTAAGCTGTATAAGATTTAATCAAGGCATTGACAATGGTCCTAAACAGTATGACAACGATCTCAAACTAGAGGATCAATCGGCACTACACAACACTGGAATCTACCACTATCTGACAAACAAACATAATGATCAGTAGTCCTGATGAAGGTATAAAAACAATAATAAAAATAATATAGACAGGTACGGAGAATAAGTGAAAACCACATGAAAACTAACTAATTCGGCTTCCAGTATAGCTAAGAATTTTGCAGGTAATGCATTTTTTGGACGGGTTCGAACATTGGCAACATCTTCAGCAATCAACTGATCATGTACATCCAACAGACGGTCCATACTAACCATTGCCGAAAAGTATGATTCGTTGGATGAAGTGAACTTATTTGCGGAAAGTAATGAATCCGCCGTTGTTTGACGAACGGAGAAACCAGAATTTTTCGTAGTCGGAATACATGTTTCGCACAATTTTCTTACATTAGGTTGATTCTCAGAACGGAAACCTATCTGACTGGTTTCGGATGATAAAGGGTGAAAACTAGACCCATTACTTTGACCTCTCGATATTTCGGAAGATTCACTGGTAGAAAAAGAACTGGGATGTGTTGTAGGTAAATTTGTTGTTACTGTATTTGGAGGTAGACCATTTAAATCATCAAAGCACTTTCTGCATACAGGACAATTATTGTTTTGTTCAATCCACAGATATAAACAGGCAGTATGAAAAATATGTCCACAGGGGAGTTGACAGGATTTGCGCATTTTCTCCCAGCAAATAGGACAATTTTCCTTCATTTGCAGTGAAAACAGAAAGTATTATTTATTCACTAAGGTCGAAACATTTGGTCAAATAACGAACATGATAAAATGAAAAACAATGAATTTTAATGAGGTTGATATGTTTAATTAGAAAAGGGTTTAATCACCAACTGATACAAGTTGAAGGACCACTAATAAGGTAAAAGCATGATATGATAGTCTGGTTTGAGATAAGATCCAATCCCCAGCCTTTTACAACATCTCGGAAAAAGGTAGCGGACATACAGGTCTTCTTTTAAGTGTGTTATCATGATGCCTAGGGACAAATAACTGGAACTTGGTGTTTCATATAACAGATTTCGAGCGAGAAACAGGTCAGTAGAAAATATAATGCGTAAAATCAAAACTGAGAGGAAAAATAGTTGAAACAGTTGAATAATCATGTTTAATAATTAAAAGATGTGAATAACCACTAGAACGTTGAACAAAACTAAAATCTAACATATGCTTATCAAAAGGTAAGACAACACAAAGAACTCAACATCCATAGTTATCAGTATTATAAAAACCATGTCACTGAACGAGCTATTTCAACCTGGAAAGTATACTTCAAATAAACTGATGGAAATACGGAAAACTGACAGTCAAATATGCAAGTCGCGAGTGAGACGATGTTTATATTGTGTTGTGAACAAAGTTATCAAAGTAAGTTTTAAAGACTTGCTCTTTTGACCGCCATTATAGAAAACACTTGTGGTTAATGCAGAAAATCCAAAGAAATAATTGAAAAATAGTAGTCCGAGTTGTCTTGTTTTATTTCTTCTGGTAAGTCAAAATACCATAGAATAATTATATGCACGACTCAGAAATAAAGCAGAGAACTCGCTTTGAAGTACATATTTGTACTTAGGCTTACGATGCAATACATGAAAAATGTGATTTGATGATAAAACACAAAATCTGATTATTTGTAACTCTAGCCTACCTTGTTAACAACGGTATCTCACAGTGATTAGTTCATAACTTTGGAATTAACCCAAAAGTTTATTAGCTCAAATGAGTACATCCAACATACGTTCCAGTACTTTTTCATACACACCTCTCTATTCTATCGTTTTATATTATATACTATATTTTTTGTTATATCCCAATGAGTAGAAAAATTGTATTTTTGACGTTTGTGACTTAATGTAAGCCGCTTTTTTAGAGTAAAGAAGTGGGATATAACAAAAAAACATATTCATTAATAACTTTTTACCAAGCCCAACCTCGGTGTTGACACCTAAAACATTTTCATACTACATCTTCAAAATCCAACTTACTTCATTATTATTGCTACTACGTTATTACGATTAGCCTTTATTCATCTTTTTAACTCTATCTGGTCGTGCTACCGAAGTGTGGCCACGGAACATTAGTGTCAGGTTTTAAAGTGATTATGACTGATTTGCAATCAACAAAGATTAACAGTACAAAAATCAAATGATTGGAAATAAAGACATGAAAACTGAGGAAAGAAGACATGAGAAACAGATAAAGTTGCATGATGGAAATTATGAATTAATACTCATCATTCGAGGGGAAAGCCAGAATCTTAAGGTGGGAAGGGAAATAACATAACTGGTAAATACATTTACGTAACTATGATTATCCAAAAGCCGATTAGTAAGGTAATTCACAAGATTAGTTTGATAAAAATACGTACCTGAGAACTGATAATCTTTTGAACAATAAGTGACGGTTTTATAGTCACTAAATCACTTTCCATTATACTTATTATGTAATTAATCCATGCGCATGAGCCATTCAAACAAAACTACCTACTGCTTACAGTTTGAGTAAAGATCATAAGTTTCAAAAAGTCACAAAATAAGCAGCATATCTTGTCATCTTTGAACAGGGCTTTCCAGAGTCAATTATAAAGGTTGATGCGCAACCAGGTATCGTTGTAGATACATTTACAAGACTATGAGTCATATCTACTGCGAAAGGTAATGAGACCATATGGTGCTAAATAAAGCGAAAACTGAGGTGATATTTGACGGTCGAATAGTTATAACATCAACTGATAGCTGTTTGAGACTATGATATGTATCACAATTTAGCAGACATCACAACTTTACAGGGACTAGAAAGCTTAGATATGAACATCCTAACGACAACTAACAGATACAATACAGAAGTCGATAGGTTACAGTGTTTGATGAAGTCTGACCTACACTGATCAAAAAATATTTAAAAATGCAAAACTGAATACTTACTTTGGAATAAACAATTCGAGTATCCAAATTCTTTAGTACGTTTTTATAGCGTTTGTGATGCACAAAACGTCTGGACACTTTGTAGTATAAATGTTGAAGGTGTAAGGCAACAATGATGCTTGACATATTTATTTGAAGTTTATTCCAAAATAACATATGTAGGTTATGGAATACATCGCCAGTATCAGCAATCGTATCAAAAACGAATTCAGTGTAATAAAGAAGCACAAAACGGTGGTACACTTTATCGTCATCATTAGAACGTGAGGCAACTTCGCAATATAGATAAACTACATACCACGTGATAACATGCACAGTGACAATCAAAAGTTGAAATACCTCCGCAAGCATAAAGAACATAGTATTAAGAGAATGCTTAGCACCCACGATTATAGAAATAATCATCAGAACGTTACTGAAAAGCAGGAGCAGACAACATAATAAAAATATTCGGGCTTGATAAGTAAGAGAGAAATCAGAACAACGAAGACTGTACTGAGAACGATCCCTGATGAGACCAGTTAGAAGACGCAAAAAGCCAAGTATAGTAAACCACGTTGCCCAAAGTAGGAGTTCATGAAGAACTTCCACGTGGAGAATACCATAAATAAAAACCACCTTATAGAAAATAAAACTAGAAAAATTTTCTCTGATATGTGAATCTTCAGCGCTTCGAAGTTGACCGAAAAACAAATTTTGCAATTCTCTTGCAGCATACATCAACAAACAGTATCCAAAGTTTACGAAGCTCCAGAAGCACCAACTGTCTTCCAGACAGCAAGTTATTGCCAGTGTTGGGTAGTTTAGTGTGGTAGAATTTCCTGTTCCTTCAGGTTTAGCATCTTTAGTCATCTGGAAGAATACATGTAATACAGATCCTAGCAATGATACTGTTGTATAAATTACATATGTGGAAAAGTTTGGCAATGGTATACGCTCTAAATTCCAGGCCTGCATCTAGCGTCTATGGCGTACTGAGCGCCTTAACTCAGGGTAATAAATCCCTAATTCAGTCGGTTTAAACCGCGCTTGATTCATGTCAAACTTTCAGTGTGGTAAACACACAGTACTGTTCTTTCATTTTCCACTTCTGGCCAAATATTTATGTCACTGACAGTACCACACAACAATCTGGTGCATATTTCGGAGCATCCTACACTTCATTGAAGCGTTCGCTTTTCACAATTACTCTGTAGAGTCCACTCATGATTCCTTTCACAACACTGACACCAAAGCAGTAAAGTGAGCTTTAATCATGTGATTGAGCTCAGGTATGACCGGTTCTTGAGAACGATTACCTTGGTTACATTTGTTCTATATTATTTTTTCTGTCTTTTGACATTATGTCTTCGGTATGTTGTAAACTTGTTTTTAAATTTTACTGTTGTAGTAGTAAATAAATCCCAAAAATAACTAGCTCTGTATGTCTTCGACATTGGATGCTGACCACATTAGTTTTAATGGACTCACCTAGTTGAAGGCGCTCGGTCATGCATCCGCACCAGATCACGAGTGGGAACTCCGTGCTCAACAATCCCTGCAATCACTAGCCCGCCTAGCTCAGACGACTCTCGATATATTGATAGCCTATCAAATATATCTTCGAACCTCTTCACTTCTATCTTTTGATTTCAATAAGTGAGTACGATTCTTATTAGATGGTGTTACTGGTTAAAGCGTTGTCAAACTCCGAATACCTATGGCATCTTCACTCTGAACATCCACGTTAAATACATTAACTTAGTCTTGCTGTTTAGGCCACTATGATCCCAAACTTAATATTCTTAGGTGGACGAAGAGTGGTTGATTCTTTGTCCCAACTACATTATCATCTATGCACGTTCCAGACTTATTAATGTATTAGGATATGGTCGGAATGGTTGTGGGCGAAATAGAAGGAGCTTGCATCAGCGGGCTTCTGTGTCTATTAGCAGTAGATCAACAGGTAGAAACCTAGGTATATTTGACAAGAACTATTTAAAAATGTCAGTGGTATTTTTCCTCTCTAGATTAATTTTTTACTTCAATTGTTTATTACGCATCAAGTCCACTGTATTAGGTTAAATTAAATTAATTTCATTTAAAGTGGTCTCCAAGAGTATCGTTTTTTCGAAAGTAGTTTATCATCCGTACTTCTGAGTACTTGCGTACTTATGTAGCGTGGCGTCGCGTTGAGGTTAACTATGAACACCGCTACCAAGAAACACGTGCCAAGCGAATCAGAAGGCGAGGGTTGGACGTAACCAAATAGATCCATAAAATCTCCGAGAAGCCAAATATCAGAAGACAGTTAATGAACCAAGTCGAGGTTTATTAGCTGGCGAACTCGTGGCATCGAAAGGATACCGAGATCGTGCCAGGATACAACCTTGGTTACAGAAGGTATCCGAATTCGCGCGAAGTTACAATCGAAGTGTAAGTATAAGAATGGAAGCACAAAATAGCTGTCATTAGCACAGTCAAACAAAAGCACGTTAAAACAAACACTGGTACAGTTGGTTATAATAATAATTGTTTTTAATAAACCAGTCGTGTTCTCCTGATAAATGTGAGTCACTACACTTACGCCTGCTACGTTGGTCCCTTTTTATTTTTATGCACTATTGATCCTATCAATCTACATTTTTTCACTTTCTTGTCATCAGTTGCTTTGTCTCTGGGTATTGTTTGTGTCTAGTTTTCATTTGAAAACTTCTGATTGAGCAGTGGACAGTCCAAGAAAGTAATTGTCATCAAGAAAATTGACCTTCGACACTGAGTTTATCAAAGAGTCTCCAATGGTTGTAGCATTATGGGATCTCAAAACGGTGTTTAGATTCTGTTCATGTCTCACGCTAAAGTTAACAGCTTGACATTTAGACGGATTACGTATGAGACCATTACCAACAGACCAACAATCAATACGAGACAAAAGCTCATTCATTTCTATGGGATGAAAAGAGGAAGAGATAGGCATACATACAGTGAGATCATCCGCATATTTCACAAAAGTGTTTTCTGTGGAAGATGGCAGGTCATGCAGAAAAAAAGTGAATAGAAAAGGTGAAAGAACAGCTCCTTATGGTACACTTTCCTGCGACAGTAGAGACTCCAAACACTTTCTTCCAAATACAGTGTACTGTTCCCTTCCAGAGAGGTAGGAACATAGCCAGTTGGTTATCCAGTTGTTGATGCTGATTAACTTGCTAAGTAAACGTTGTCTTGGTATAGAGTCAAAAGCTGAAGTATTGTCCAGAAAAGCACATCGAACATACTTCTTACCCTTTTCTAAGTTGAACACTATGCTGTGATGCAGAACTGCAGCAGCATCTAAAGTGCTTCTTTTGCGCCTGTATGCAAACTGGTATGGGTCAGTATGCTCTTTTATCGCAGGCTGGAGTGGAAGTATTAATAATTTTTCCATTGTTTTGAGGAAGGGTGAAGTTATTGCAATAGGTCAAAATTTTACATTCTTATCATCAAATGCTTTCTTGGGTACAGGAATTATCTTCATCTTTCTCCACATTTTCGGTATGAGATTAGATGAGAAGGATCCGTTAAAGATAGCTGTGAACGGATGACATAGAACGTCATCACTTTTTAAAAAGGATGTTTGGGATACCATCAGGTCCCAAACATCGAGATGAATTAAGCGACTGGAGACATCCTCGTACATCAGTCTCAGTGAACGTTGGAACACAGCTATTCTTCAAACCCGTGGATAGAGGGAGCATCACATCAGATGACTGACGTACAAAAGCCTTATTTAAGTCACAAACATTCAGCTGGTTATCACTTCTAAACTTTCTGTCACCTGCAAGTTCTTTAAAGAATTTCCATATACTTGGAGAGTTTTTGCAAGATGAGAGTTTTTGAGTAAACATACAGTTGAGACGTCTAATCTCTAGGTTTATCAGACCATTTAGCTTACGAACTTCATTAGAGTTCTCCTCCATGTACATTCTTTCTTTCATCCTCCGTAGTCGTTTTAGTTGTGAAGATGTAAGTCGATCAATACTTACAAAAATGGTTTCAGTGGGACAACAAATATCAAAACAAAATTTAAGGTAACAACTGATAACATCAGTAGTGCTTTCGAGTGAGTCATCTGTAGATAATTCCCAGCTAGTCGTATGAAACATGTTTTTCAGATTTCAGATATTTTCTTCTGAGTAATTCCTATATTTGACTTTTTTTGTTTGATGTTAGAGTGTACTCTTTCCATGCCTTCCATATTACTTTAGGTAGAACACGAATTATACAGTGATCTGAGCTAGACAATGGAGCACGTTTACGAGTCGCATATATACCCACATCATTAATGAAGACGAAGTCTAGATGAGCATCCAAACGGGTAGGAAAATCCACTACATTTTGGTGATCTAGTGACGTAAGGAAGCTACAGTCACATGAATTGAAATCACCACATACAACTGAAAGTGAATCATTGAAGGCAGTAACAGCGAACTCTGTGAATTCATCAGCAAAAACAGATAATGCAGATGATGTGCAATCTGGAGTAACGTAGATATTGGTAACATGGACATATTTGTATTTATTCAAATGTTTTGGACACCTTAGAGTTAGACAGTCGATAAAGTCATTTGAAAACTTAAAACACACGAACGAAGATCGACACCAGTTTATGTTTACGAACGTAGCTACACTGTCACCACACCTCTTTTTATTGTTCGATCAATCCTGACGATAAATTTTAAAATCACGTAGTGATACAAGGCAGTCATCCTGTAAATCATTCAACCAAGATTCTTGAATTGTGATGAAACCACAATTACGATACATATTTTGACTAAATTGGAACTGCAAATAGTTCACTTTGTTGATTAGTGATCGGCAGTTAGAATTTAGCAGCTCGGGAATCGACATACGATTAATGTTCATTCTTTTTAACGCATATTGCCAACCATCACGATGTCTTTTATAGTACTTTTTCGTAACTTCTGGAGCGAAAGGTCGTAGGCTTTTCATAAAAGCGCCTGAATAGGTTATGCGATTAATGGACATAATTATAAATTAAAACAAATGAAAAACAGATAACTTGTTGAAATAATCAGATGGCAGAAACAGGTAGCCTAGATATTCAAGCAGGCCGCCGTAAATGACTTGCTTATTTTTTGATCATCACCCGTTTAGTGATATGCCGACGATTTCAAGATGTGCAGAGAGATAAAAAATAAAGGTAATAGTTTGGAGTGTCAACGCGAGACTATCTGCTTTTGTTAGAGATACGAAAATCATTTCATCCTCTGATTGGTTGACAAGCGCGCAACAGAATACGAAACACTCGGAACACTACTCGATTTATTCCCGATTTCGATTCGGTTGCGATTCAGATTAATTCAAAAAGATACATGAACAAGTGAATGACTAACATGACAACAACACACAAACAATTAGGAAAATACAGTTGTGTCCAAAACTTAGGATTATGGTGGAACGATGGAGTAGCAAAAGTTACGTCTAATTTAGGATAATTTTGGGACAAAAAGGACCATAGTAATGGATCATGCATCAACAGAAAACTAATGGCTTGCCGACTAATCTAGGGCAAAAAATGACTGTCAATAATCTACAATCATTGGATGAAGTGAAATAGCGTTCTCAAAAATGACCTCCGTGGTTTGTCATAGATTCTTTGTCTCTATTTTCGCATCAGTTATCTCAGTACGTGACTGGAGCTCCATCTGTCGACACTCAAGTTATCTGGATGACATAATAATTGTGGGAGTGGATAGAATAGACTTGGAGAAGAAGCTCGACTAGGTGCCTCATGAATAGCTGAATATGCACTTCGACTCCCTTCACAAAAATGTAATTTCTGTATGCAAAAGGTACGCTATCTCGAATTTATAGTCGACAAATATGACAGACAACCACTTCCAGAAAATATCCAGGCAGTAAAAACTATGCCTAGGCCGACTAATATCCTCACATTATGATCATTTTTGGAACTAGTTGTTCATTATGGAGCTTTTACTCATGACCTTCATCGCCTAGGTGCCACTTTAAATAACCTTCTGGCGAAGAATGCAAAATGGG